CCGCTCAAGTGCGCGCCCAAGACCTTCTGGGTGAACGAGGGCAAGCACGCCAAGTTCCGCTGCTACGTGATGGGCAAGCCGGAGCCCGAGATCGAGTGGCACTGGGAGGGCCGCCCGCTGCTCCCCGACCGCCGCCGCCTCATGTACCGCGACCGCGACGGCGGCTTCGTGCTCAAGGTGCTCTACTGCCAGGCCAAGGACCGCGGGCTCTACGTCTGCGCCGCGCGCAACTCGGCGGGCCAGACGCTCAGCGCCGTGCAGCTGCACGTCAAAGGTACGGGGCGCGCCCGCCCGGGCTGGGGAGGGGCCTCCAGTGCCCTCCAGGCCTTCTGAGTCCGGCCCCCATCGGAGCTCGGTTCTGCCCTGAAGACTGGGGGGCAGGGGGGCCCGCCGAGTATTCAAATGCAGTTTCCGGCCGCCTCCCACCCCCAGGGTTTCGGATTTCGCGGGTCTCCAGGGTACCCAAGAATTTGATTAAACTCCCCAAGTGACTCTGAGGCAGGCGGAGGGAAACCACAAGGGGCTGATGTACAAACCTGAGGGCCCTAGAACGCTTCTCCTCCAGTAGTTTTGTTGTTTTACCCCTCCTTTCCCAACTGAATTCACAACTGGAGTCCCAATAAATGAGACAGGTAAGTTAGTATTTTATGGGTGTAAATTGCTACACCCACATTTTTAACATGTCATTATAAAGCTAATCAGGAGAACAAGGGTGCTGCTTTACTGAATAAACACATCTTAGACAGGAGCTGCCTTCATAACAGTCTAGTCTCTAAACCCTGTGGGGAAGGCCTGGCAGCAAACATCACGTTGAGAAATAACTTAGGACTCACCAGGAAGGGAGGGAGGGAGGGCAGTTTTGACTTTAAAAAAAAAATTAAACTGCTCCCCAAGTTTGAAAAAAGAAGAAAGTTTATATTTCAAAGTTGAATCAGCCGGGCTCGGTGGCTCAGCCTGTAATCCGGTACCTTTAGGAGGCTGAGGTAAGTGGATTGATTGCCTGAGCCCGTGGGTTCAAGACCTGCCTGGGCAACTTGGCGAGACCTCATCTGTACAATAAATCAAAGTTGAATCATCAACAATATCTAATAAATGCTTATGTTACTCATAAACAGAAATCCAAAGGGGGAAAAAAACACACCCCATACACTGGAAGTTAACATTCTCCATAATAGAATTTCATCACAACTCAAGGGATTACACCTTCACTACTCACTGCCCAATTCTTTTCCCTTGGAGGAAAAAGAGTTGGCAAATTCTCAGTCCTGTCTGGCATGCAGTCAAGCATGTGGCACCTGGGCTGCAATAGTGGCCTCACTGCTACAGTATGATGTGCACAGACTCGCCAGGCCAGTGCTGACCCAGAACTCCATCAGGAAAGAATAGCCCAGCAGGAAGGAGGAGCTTCCCAGAGCTGCATAAAAAACCTGCTTCTCCTGCAACCCGAGAGAACCCTCTGGCCATTTCCAACATGGTGTTTTTTCTCTTATTTGAAATACAGTTTTCAAAAAGGTTAAAATACTTTAAAGATAACTTAGACCCTTGGGGAATAGGTGAAGGACCCCAGGGAACAGTTTGGAAATCACTGATCTGGTCCAACACCTTCCCTCTCTTTGTATATATTTTGTTTTGTTTTGTTTTGGAGTCGGGAGTCTCACTCTGTTGCCTAGGCTGGAGTGCAGTGCACACGATCTGGCTCACCACAGCCTTGACCTCCTGAGCTCAGGTGATCCTTCAGCCTCAGCCTCCTGAGTAGCTGGGACTTCAGGCGTGACCACCATGCTCAGCCCCTTTCCTCGTTTTCCAAGAAAAACCTGAGGTCCAGATGCATTCAAATAGACTTGCTTAAGGTGATGTGGCTAGTGTCAGGGCCAGATGAGATTTTAGGCCATCTGATTTTTCTTTTGGAGGTTTTTCTGTGGTTCCACAGTACCTGCTGGCTCTAGGAAAAGAGCACACAGCATGAGCTAATGTGCACTTAGGAGTCCTCCTGGTCTGGCCCCTCTACAGAACCTGCTCTCGCCTCTCCTCTCTCTGCAGAGCCCCGCCTCCGGTTCACGAGGCCCCTGCAGGACGTGGAGGGCCGGGAGCATGGGATTGCTGTGCTGGAGTGTAAAGTACCCAACTCCCGCATCCCCACGGCCTGGTTCCGGGAGGACCAGCGGCTGCTGCCTTGCCGCAAGTACGAACAGATCGAAGAGGGCACCGTAAGGCGCCTCATCATCCACAGACTAAAGGCAGATGACGACGGCGTCTACCTGTGCGAGATGCGGGGCCGGGTGCGCACCGTAGCCAACGTGACGGTCAAAGGTCGGCTGGCCAGTGGGGAGGAGGCTGCAGCTGAGGCTGAGGCAGATGGGAGCTCTGATTCCAAGGTTGATGGATTCCCATCTGCATCCCAGGGCCCATCCTGAAGCGGCTGCCCCGGAAGCTTGACGTCCTGGAGGGAGAGAATGCGGTGCTGCTGGTGGAGACGCAAGAGGCTGGAGTCAAGGGGCGCTGGAGCCGCGATGGGGAGGAGCTGCCAGCCACCTGCCAGAGCAGCTCTGGCCACATGCATGCCCTGGTCCTTCCAGGGGTCACCCGAGAAGACGCTGGCGAGGTTACCTTTAGCCTGGGCAACTCCCGCACCACCACTCTGCTCAGAGTCAAATGTGAGGGCGGGAGGCCTCTAGACAAGAAGGCCAGGACGGGAGGGTGACCAGATGCCAGAGCTGGGTTGGTGAAGTGGATTTAGGGTGGAAGGGCTGAACTGAGGGTGGAACATATCCTTGCCTCTGTCTCAGGCGTCAAGCACAGTCCCCCGGGGCCCCCCGTGTTGGCAGAGATGTTCAAGGGCCACAAGAACACAGTCCTGCTGACCTGGAAGCCTCCCGAGCCAGCTCCTGAGACCCCATTCATCTACCGGCTGGAGCGGCAGGAAGTAGGCTCTGAAGACTGGATCCAGTGCTTTAGCATTGAGAAGGCTGGAGCTGTAGAGGTGCCGGGGGACTGTGTGCCCTCTGAGGGTGACTACCGCTTCCGTGTGTGCACGGTCAGCGAACATGGCCGCAGTCCCCACGTTGTGTTCCAAGGCTCTGCTCACCTCGGTGAGTCCGTCCTGCCCACTGCACATCAGCGGCCACACCCCAAGTCGTGCCTTCCCATCACTTCTCCCTTCCCCGGCTCTCAGTGTCTGTCCTCTCATAGGCCTTCTATCTGCCCTCTGTCACCCTCTCTGGTTCTGATGGCTGCACTCTGTCCTCACTTCAGTGCCCACAGCTCGCCTGGTGGCAGGCCTGGAGGATGTTCAGGTATATGATGGGGAAGATGCCGTGTTTTCCCTCGATCTCTCCACCATCATCCAGGGCACCTGGTTTCTCAATGGGGAGGAACTCAAGAGCAACAAGCCGGAGGGCCAAGTAGGACCTGGGGCCCTGCGGTACTATATGGAGCAGAAAGGCCTGCAGCACAGACTCATCCTGCAAAGTGTCAAGCACCAGGACAGCGGGGCCCTGGTCGGCTTCAGCTGCCCTGGGGTGCAGGACTCAGCCGCCCTCACCATCCAAGGTTAGTACCTGTGGGGACCTGAGTAGGCAGATAGGATCAAGACACAGAAGTCCATCCTGTTGACAAAACAAAGCAGATGCGGTTCCCATGTCTTACATCCAGGCTGGGAAAGTAAGGAGCATCCATGATGGGCTCAGATGGAGGGCTCAGAGGTCCAGAGGGCCAATTTCAATCTACTTGCAATGTAGAGGGCACCCCTCTTTACATCAGTCAGCATCATATCCCAATTCCGTGGAATGCTTTGTGTTTTACAGAATTCTGTCACATTTGTCCTCTCATTTAAGAGGCACAGACCCTGGATGCTAGTTCCTGACTACCTCCTGCCCTGTTGTCTAATTGCAAACACTGTCATAGCAACTCCCTACGTGTCAGTCCTGTTCATTTTACAAAGGTCAACACAGTCCTTTTAACAGCCCTATAAGATAGGTTCTTTTGGCATCCCCATTTTATAGATGGGGAAACTGAGGCACAAAGAGGTGAAGTGACTTGCCCAAAGCCACAAAGCTAATGAGTGATGGTGCTGGGTTATGAACCCAGGCAGTCTGGCTCCAGATCATATCATGTGACCTGTTGAAAAGGGGGAGAGGGAGTGAGGCATTCCTGAGAATGACAGCTGAGATAGAGGGCTGAAAGTTCAAGGAAATCACTAGCATTTGTTACCTTGCCATTGCTGAAGCTTGTAAGAGCAGTCAAGGAACGTGTTGGTGGCCAAGCACGAAGCCCTGAGGTGACTCCCTGCCAGTGTTGCCGGCAGAGGGCAAGGTGGGAAATAACCAGCCTCCAGAGCATCATTTCCAAAATGTGGTTCAGAATTGCTGACATCAAAGTCACCTGGAGGGCTGGTGTGTGATACAGTTTCCCTGGCTCCTGCATGCTTGAGGGTCTAAGAATTCTGTGTTTTTAGCAGGCTCCCTAGAAATTCTTATGCACAACAAAACCACTGCACTTAAGGGTTAGAGTGTAAGCCCAAGTTATTATTATTTTTTTTTAGTTGAAGTCTCACTCTGTCAACCAGGCTGGAGTGCAGTGGCACACTTACGGCTACCCCAGCGTTGACCTGCTGGGTGCTGGCGATCCTTCCACCTTAGCCTGCCAAGTAGCTGGAACTATAAGTGCATACTATCACCCCCAGCTAATTTTTTATTTATTGTAGAGACGTTGTCTCGCCACGTTGCCCGGGCTGATCTTGAACCCACGGCAGGCTTAGGTAGTCCACTCGCCTCGGCCTCCCAAAGTGCTGGGATTACAACCCAAGCTATTTTTAAAGGCCCCACAAATGTGTTGGTAGCAGTTGTCCTCCCTGGTGAATCCACCCTTACCCTGAGCACACCCACAGAGAGGTGCTTATGCATATGTCTCCCCACACAGAGAGCCCGGTGCACATCCTGAGTCCCCAGGCCAAGGTGTCACTGACCTTCACGACCTCAGAGCGGGTGGTGCTGACCTGTGAGCTCTCACGGGTGGACTTCCCGGCAACCTGGTACAAGGATGGGCAGAAGGTAGAGGAAAACGAGTCGCTGGTGGTGAAAGTAGACGGACACAAACACCGTTTGATACTGCCTGAGGCTGAAATCCGGGACAGCGGCGAATTTGAGTGCAGAACAGAAGGGGTCTCGGCCTTCTTCAGTGTCACCGTCCAAGGTCAGGAAATGTGCCAGCCTGGGCTTCTGCAGCTGAGGCTGATTCTAGGAGCCACACAAGCTCTGTCTGTTTGGGGTGGGAGGTACCCTCACAGAAAGGACATGTTTAAGATCGCTCTGCACTTGCTTCTTTTTTTTTCGAGTTGGAGTCTCACTCTTTCACCCAAGCTGGAGTGCAGTGGCACGCTCACAGCCATCGCAGCCTCACCCTGCTGGGCTCAGGCACTCCTTGCACCTCAGCCTTCCAGGTAACTGGAACTACAGACGGACACCACCACACCTGGCTAATTTTTTGATTTATTGTAGAGATGAGGTCTTGCCATGTTGCTCAGGCTGGTCTCGAATCCCTGAGCTCAGGCAGTCCTCTCAGCTCTGCCTTCCAAAGTGCTGGGATTACAGACTTGAGCCACCTCGCCTGGCCCTTTTTTTTCCTTTTGTGATGAGGGGACAGTCTTACTGTATTGTGCAGGCTGGCTGCAAACTCCTGGGCTTAAGCGATCCTCCCACCTAAGCCTCCTGAGTAGCTGGGACCCAGGCACACGCCACTACACCTGGCCTGCACTTGCTTGTTAACCCTCTCATGGGCCAACGCCCTCTAGCACACTTGCTGTCCACATACCCTCTGGGTTGGGTGGGGGACCTAAATGCAATTAAGAGGAAGAGAAATGCAAGCTAACATTTATTGAGCACCAACAGAGTCAAGTACCATATATTAAGTACTTTCAGTATACACTCTTTCATTTAATCTTCATAACTAGAACGGGGCAATATATCTCCAAAGATAAAGAGATTGGGGCTCTAAGAGGTTGTGTGTGACCTCCCTGCTCATTGTCACACAGCCAGAAAACACCATAGCTTGGAGTCACATCCAGGACTATGCTTCTCCCGCTGCCCCAGATGGTCAGAGTCCAACAGAAGCATACAGTGCAGTGACCCTATGGTTCTCACAAGGCTGCTCATGGTCTGGCTACTTTGGAACCTCCTTGGAAGCTTGTTATAAATGCATATGCCCAGCTCCTTGGAGGATCCAGAGCCAGAATATCCAGGCTGGAGCCTGAGGATCCTCTTCTAACAAATGCTGACTATCTGGGAGGGCAGCTTGGGAAGCCTAGTCCCGCTCAGCTCATTGTAAGTGGACGTCCTGTTTCCAGCACCATGGCTGGGAGGTCCTGTGGCCCCTGCTCGCATGCACACAGTGACAGGGAGCTCACCACTCATAGGGAGCAGCTGTCACACTGTTGCCACTTGTTAGATCCTTCTCTGTCTATCCTTGTAATAGAAGCAACAAGCATGGCCCTTATGTGGTTTGTGGAAGTGACTTCCTTCAGACCTGACAAACAGTGGTTGCCACTGTGTGAATCTCTGTGCCTCTGTGTCCCCACCCAGCCATCTCCGATCCTCTGGGGGCCCATGGAGCATTCAGATGCCACAAGATCACCTGCCATACCCTCAATATCCCATGTTGTTGCCCCTGAGCCCCTTATACACAACATGACCTCACCCTCTCCCAGTGTCCTGCTATGCAGAGGCAGTGGCTCCTGGCCATGCAGCAGTTTAGACGCCTGTCTCTGTGTGTGGGGTGTCTGTGCGATGCCATCTCTGCTTCCCACCCAGATCCCCCAGTGCACATCGTGGACCCCCAGGAGCACGTGTTCGTGCATGCCATAACCTCTGAGTGTGTCATGCTGACCTGTGAAGTGGACCGAGAGGCTGCCCCTGTGTGCTGGTACAAGGATGGGCAGGAAGTAGAGGAGAGTGACTTCCTGGTGCTGGAGAATGACGGGCATCATCGCCGCCTGGTGCTGCCTGCAGCCCAGCCCCCCGATGGGGGCGAGTTTCAGTGCGTCGCCGGAGACGAGCGTGCTTACTTCACCGTCACCATTACAGGTGGGACACCTGGCGGGCCCCGCTGGAGCAGCTGTTGCACTTTCACTCCTGGGTCGCTGTTCCCAGCCCCTGCTACCCACTCCCTGCCTGACAGGACCTCCTCTCCTCTTCCTCGACCTATGGTCTTATCACACTCGGAAAATTGCCTTGTCATAAGCACGTTAGTCTTGGCTACTCGTGTAACCAGGGAAACCCTGCCTTCTCTGTTCTCCTGAAGACCCCTGCCAAGGGCTGTCTTTGGGGATGGCAGGTCTATTGCAGGGTAGGTGATCACAGGCACTAGAGGGGCCAAAAGATATCAGAGGCCTGCAGGAGACCCCCAGCTCCCTCTAGGGGCCCAACCCTCTTCTCCCCAGTTCCACCCTTCGTACCATCCATGTCCCAACCCAGAGAATGTGGGGGTGTTTCTAAGGCCAAGGCTGATACCACTGTCCCCCCATGCAGTCTCTACACAGCATAAAGCCTGATTTAGCTTCGGTGACAGCTGTATTCAGGAGACCGTGTGTCTCTAGGTGTGAGTAGCTATCGGAACTGCTGTCCCTCTTCAACACATGGCCTGCCTTTCAAGAGTAGAGAACAGGCCCACATCAGGGAGGGCAGCAGGGGACTCCAGCCCCAGCCTCATGCCCAGCAGCGGCTGTCCCCGTCTTCCAGACGTCTCCTCGTGGATCGTGTACCCCAGCGGCAAGGTGTACGTGGCAGCCGTGCGCCTGGAGCGCGTGGTGCTGACCTGCGAGCTGTGCCGGCCCTGGGCCGAGGTGCGCTGGACTAAGGATGGTGAAGAGGTGGTGGAGAGCCCAGCGCTGCTCCTGCAGAAGGAGGACACTGTCCGCCGCCTGGTGCTGCCTGCCGTCCAGCTTGAGGACTCCGGCGAGTACTTGTGTGAAATTGATGATGAATCGGCCTCCTTCACGGTGACTGTCACAGGTATGGACCCACCCTAGCTCCCTGGGATCACCAGAGGACAGCCCTGAGCCTTGGAGGAGCTGGTTACATATCCCCTAGCTAGCACACTGGGGAGGAGGGAGGTGTGGGCTGCGGGTGCGTGTGCCAGGGCCCTTGCCCAGAAGGATCCAGGGCCCCATCTGAGGACATGGCCTCTCCCTGGCGCCCGTGGTCGGGACTGGGTCTGTTTTCCCAGCTCTTTGCTGAGCGCTTTCTCTGGTGCAGGTACTGGCCAGGTGTTGGGAGTAATGGGGGAGTACTGCAGGCATGTCCCTGTTCTCAGGGACCTGCCAGTCTAGCTGGGGGTGTCGGGTGGGGCAGCTGTTAACCAGGGGTCGCAAATGGGCAGCCCTGGGGCCCGTGCAGCCTACAGATGTGCTTTGTTTGGCCTGCAGAGTCTTACCAAAGTCAGGACAGTTCAAATAACAATCCGGAGTTATGCGTCCTCTTGAAAAAGCCGAAGACCCGGCGGCTCTGGTCCCGCTTCCCCCCATGGCGACGAACAGCTGGCACTGAGTAGCGGCTGCCCCTGTAATACGGGGCCCACATTCCTCTGTCCCTCCCTTCCTGCCATTCCTCTTTGCCTCTCCTCAGACCGCTTCAGCCAATGACCTAACTGACCCGGCCCCTGCGGGCATTTGAGTTTGCGACCCCTGTGTTAAACCAATAAATACACAAATAAATGTACCTACACCTGGTGCTAAGTGCTAAGTGCTGTGAGGACTGAGGGAGGGCAGAGCAGGAGGGTCAGGGCAGGCCTGGAAGAAAGTTGCCATCCCACACACAGGAGATAGCACACAAACAACAGCACACAGTCGCTTCCCTCCCAGAGCACACAGCCAGGCAGGAAAGCCAGGCACATCAGAGGGTCTTGGATCAGAGCCTGGGTTCTTGAGGGCCACCCTAGGAACCTGAGGCTAGGGGCTGCCATCCTGGACAAACTGGAGCTAAGTGAGAGTGGACTGTGGACAGGAGGTGAGGAGACTGTTCAAGGCGGGAAAAGCTCAGGATGACGGCGGACGTGTGGTGGTTCAGTGCCAGAGACTTCGGGGCGGTAGCTCACAGCATCAATCCCAGTGTGTATGTGTTGGTGGCACGGGTCATAGGGCTAGGCAGCTCTGATTGGCACAGAACTCTGATGGCTGCGCTGGAGCATCCAGCTGACTGCTGGCACAGTCTTACCATCCTCTCCCTTGCACTGCCCTGTCATGCCCCGCTCAGGCTGAGTGCTTAGGGGCTCCCCACTCCCTGCATCCTAGACAGAGCAGTCTAGGAGCACACAGGCCCACAACGTTAAAGAGGGCTCCAGCACATGTTGCGTCCTGCAGCAAGTCACCTGCAGCCTCCTGCCCCCAACCCTGGCCAGACATAATGGCCATAAGCTACACAAATTCCAGCCCACACTTGGCCTCCCCACAAAACACCAGACTCTTTGTAGGGAAGTTCACACCACACCACCTATGTTCTAGGCCAGAGCGAATCAAGTCTGATGCCAAGCTGGGGTTCCAGGGCTGTGCAGATAGCCCAGCCCCACCACAGCACTCTGTCCTCACCCCTCCACCCCCGTCACCTTCCCCACTCCTTGGGCAGTCACACTCTGCATTCGCCCAGCCTTAGTGGACCCCACAGAACCGGCCTGCATCCTCCACACCCCCAGAGAAAGTTCACTGGGGAGGTGGGTTGTGTGGGCTCGGGATAGGAGTCTCCATGGAGGCGATGGCTGAGTATATGCCTGTGGGTCTGCCCATGTGCACCCCTCTAAAATCCAGCAGTTCCTCGGCCCAGCCACAAGGGGGCCACTCACTATAGGAGCACTAAAGTCTCCTGAAGACTTAAGACGCCCTGGGAGCATTGGGGCATGGGACTCTGGACAGGCTTGGACCCCATGCACTGGTCACCTCCAGTGTTGACTTGGCTCCCTTTCTGTGGAGAAGTAGCCATCTCTTGGAGATAAGCTTCCAGAATCAGTATTTAGCCTCCCTGGGGAACTCTCAGGTGTTGGCAACTCTCAGGCACCAGATGCAGAGAGACCATTGCTGAGTTCCTGCAAGTGCTGGCATGGAATTCCTACCACTGCCTGCAGAGTCTGAGCTTCCCATTATCAGATGGCATTTCTGCCTCCTGCCCTGAAGCAGTATGGCCAACGACCTGAAGGACGTTGCTTAGTCACTCTGTGCCCCGGTTTCCTCATCTGGAAAATGGGGATAAAACAATACCTAGCTCCTAGGATTGCTGTGGAGGTTAAATGTGTAGAGCTCTTAGAACTGTTCCTGGACCCATAGGAAGTGATATATATAAGTGTTTGCTGTTTCAGACCCACTGTCCCTTATCCCTTACTTTGAAATTCAAAAATCCCTCAAAATCAAAAGCCTTTTTGTAACTTTAGTATTCAAAGTCATTTCAGTAAAACCTGAGCCTGAATGCTGTGAAAGTATTTCTACTCTTTAAGTGTCCTGCTTAGGGGACCATAGTGATATCTTTATAGCTATAAGATATGAATATATATTTTTTAATATATCCTGCTTAGGGAGAATGTAATATATGTCACACCACAGAAATGGTAATGTGGTTGATTGTGGGGGTGCTCCAGTGAGGGTCAAGGGCATCATTTCTGGAATCCAAAGCATCTTGGATTCTGTAACACTTCTGGCCCTAGGGATTTCAGAGAACCGATTGTGGGCCTGTTACCACTTATTTTTATACTTGCTCCTCTTATTGTCGTGTGGGTGACAGAGCCTTCCTGCTGCCAAGTGGTTCCAAGGAGGCTGGCCGTGAGTTTGTGACAGCCTGTGATCACTTCCACTCTGCAGAGCCCCCAGTGCGGATCATATACCCCCGGGACGAAGTGACCTTGATCGCTGTGACCTTGGAGTGTGTGGCGCTGATGTGTGAGCTCTCTCGGGAGGATGCCCCTGTACGCTGGTACAAGGATGGGCTGGAGGTGGAGGAGAGCGAGGCTCTGGTGCTGGAGAGGGAGGGGCCTCGCTGCCGCTTAGTGCTACCCGCTGCCCAGCCTGAGGACGGGGGCGAGTTTGTGTGTGACGCCGGAGATGACTCGGCCTTCTTCACCGTCACTGTCACAGGTGGGCAATCCCTGGGCCACCCCGAGAAAGGCAGGGGGGATGAGGAACAGACTCCCAACTATCCCTACTCCTCCTCCTCCAGCCTCCTCCTTCTCAGCCATCAGAGAGTCCTGCTTGCCCAGATCAGATCAGGACTGTGACCAGAGGTGGGAGGGAGCCCAGCAATTAGGGCCATTCATTTATTTGGTCAGTACTTACTGAGCAAATACTATGTGCTAAGCACTGTTCTAGATGCTGGGGTTACAGTAGTGAACCAATAAGACAAAACCTCCTGCCTTGACAGAGCTTTCACTCTACTGAGGGCGGGCAGACAAGAAATAAGTAAAAGAGATGGTTTGTCAGGTGGCGATATGTACGTCGGAGGCAGAGCAGGGAAAGAGGATGGGAAGTGGGGGCGGGTGGGGCATGGGATGTGGTAGATCTGGGTGGGAGGCTTGATTTGCCTCTTTCTGTCTGTGCGAACTTGGGCAAAGCAGTCTTCCCTAACTAGGCCTCAGGTCCTCGTCGGTGCAGCTCCTTGAGGTGATAGGAGTAAGGAGGAAAGAGCTGCAGGGTGCTGAGCCCAGTGTCTGGCATACAGCAGGAACCTGTGGATTGCAGCTGGCACCGTTCCCAAGAGCTGTGCTGCCAGGGGAGAGTGCTGAGACTCTGGTGGGTGTGGCAGGGAGGCCTGCTGGCCAAGCCCTTGTGCCCCTCTCTCCACCACCCACCAGCCCCGCCAGAGAGGATCGTGCACCCGGCAGCCCGCTCTCTGGATCTGCAGTTCAGGGCTCCTGGGCGCGTGGAGCTGCGCTGTGAGGTGGCCCCGGCTGGGTCCCAGGTGCGCTGGTACAAGGACGGGCTGGAGGTGGAGGCCTCAGACTCCCTGCAGCTGGGGGCCGAGGGGCCCGCCCGTACCCTGACCCTGCCCCACGCCCAGCCCGAGGACGCCGGGGAGTATGTGTGTGAGACCCATGATGAGGCGGTCACCTTCAACGTCAGCCTGGCTGGTGGGTGCTCCGGGCCAGCTCCGGGCCAGCCCCGGGCGGGGAGGCGGGGCCAAACGCGGGCTTACACCCTCCTCTCTTCGTCCAGAGCCCCCAGTGCAGTTCCTCGCCCCAGAGGCAGCCCCTGGCCCGCTCTGTGTGGCCCCCGAGGAGCCAGTGGTGCTGAGCTGTGAACTGTCCAGGGCTGGCGCCCCTGTGTTCTGGAGCCACAATGGGAGGCCCGTGCAGGAGGGCGAGGGCCTGGAACTCCACGCCGAGGGCCCCCGCCGCGTCCTCCGCATCCCGGCTGCGGGCCCAGCCCATGCAGGCATCTACACTTGCCAGTCTGGGACAGCCCCAGGTGGTCCGAGCCTCAGCTTCACCGTCCAGGTGGCTGGTAAGTGTCGCCTAAGAAGAATGTCTGAGAGTGACACCCCAAACTCACAGGTTTCCCTGCTTTTCGAGCCCGCCCTGTCCACGCCTTGTCTTGTCTCTCATTACCTCTCCCTGTCTTGCCGCCCCCTTCCCTCCTCGAAGCCCTGAGCCTCTCCCTCTCAGTGACCCCCAGCTCTGACCCCACAGAGCCCCCCGTGAGGGTGGTGGCCCCCGAGGCAGCCCAGACGAGGGTTCGAAGCACCCCAGGCGGGGACCTAGAGCTGGTGGTGCGCCTCTCCGGGCCGAGGGGCCCTGTGCGCTGGTACAAGGACGGGGAGCGACTGGCGAGCCAGGGGCGGGTGCAGCTGGAGCAGGCCGGGGCCAGGCAGGTGCTGCGGGTGCGGGGGGCCCGGAGCGGGGACGCAGGGGAATACCTGTGCGACGTGCCCCAGGACAGCCGCATCTTCCTCGTCAGCGTGGAAGGTAACAGTGCACCCCTCCCACCCTGTGGGCCCTGGCACCCCAAGAACCATCCACCACCATTCTAGGGCCCCTTCATCCGGCCACCCCCACTCTGCTGCCTCCGACTCCAGCCAGTGCATGTGTGACCATCACTTGGAGGAGGACTTAGGGCTCCCTCTTCCAGAAACCCTCATCTATGGGGGCAAAGTCAGTGGTTAAAGGTGCCCTGGAGTTGACACACCCACGTTCCAACCTGGATTCTGTGCCCCAGTAGCTGTGTGCCATTAACCGAGTTGCTTAACCTTTCTTAGCCCTGGCTCTGAAAGGAGAGGCTAGTGCTTATCTTCTAGGCCTGTTCTGAGAAGTAAATGCTGTAAGTAGAGTCCATGGTGAATGCTGTATTATTACCAGGTAGTCACAGTGGTGGGATACCAGGCTAGGATTGAGAGGAGTTGGCTAAAAGTAATGGTTGGAGTTGGCATCTTAATCCCATGGCTGACACACAGTAGGCCCTCACAAAAAGGCGCGTTAAATGACTGGACGCCAAGGGTCTGTACCCTCAGGAGGGGCTGAAAAGGAGAGAGGGGGAGAGACCCAGCTCAGCTCACTGCCTGACCCCGTCCCCAGAGCCGCCGCCGGTCAAACTGGTCTCAGAGCTGACACCACTCACTGTCCATGAGGGCGATGATGCCACCTTCCGGTGTGAAGTCTCCCCACCAGATGCTGATGTCACCTGGCTGCGTAATGGGGCCGTCGTCACTCCAGGGCCCCAGCTGGAGATAACCCAGCATGGGTCAAGCCGCATCCTGACCTTGCGAGGCTGCCAGCTGGGGGACGCGGGGACCGTGACTGCACAGGCAGGGGGCGTGACCACAAGTGCCCGGCTCCACGTTCGAGGTTTGGTCCTGATGAGGATGAGATGCTCAGCTCCCTGTAACCATCCTCCCAGCCCCGGGCCCCAGCAGCCTTGCCCTTCTGCCTAGGGACGGAGCACTGGGTTGGAGCACCGGCCAGCCTCCGATCCTACCAGGCTCCATGGCCTCCTCCCTTTCCCTCCAGAGACAGAGCTGCTGTTTCTGCGGCGACTGCAGGATGTGCGGGCAGAGGAAGGACAGGACGTGTGCCTCGAGGTGGAGACAGGTCGTGTGGGTGCAGCAGGGGCCGTGCGCTGGATGCGTGGTGGGGAGCCCCTGCCCCATGACTCTCGCCTGTCTATGGCCCAGGATGGCCACATCCACCGCCTCTTTATCCATGGTGTCATACTGGCTGACCAGGGCACTTACGGCTGTGAGAGCCACCACGATCGCACCCTGGCCAGGCTCAGCGTGAGGCGTGAGTGCCCCGTCCACTCCTAATGCATTGCCCCCCCCCACCGCACAGCCTTTCCCCCCTCAGGCCCCACCAAAGTGCCCCTCACCGCGAGGAAAGTCAGCCCTGGCCGTGGCAGTCCAGGGGCAGGACCTGCAGCAGCCTGCCCAAAGCAAAACTTTTCTTTTTCTAATGTTTTCTACTTACCTTAGATGCCCACGTGGATTTTGCATTCCATTTCCTATTCCCAAGTTGGCTTTGCTATAAACATAAACCTTACACTCCAGAAAGACTTGCTGCATTTATCCTCAGTCATGTGCCCATTTAAAAAGCAGGGATGTCTGGCAAATAGCACTCCACACCTCCCACGCCAGGCTGGAGCCCTCTGTTTCCTGTGTGACCCCATGCAAATTACCTCTCTGAGCCAAGTCTTCTTATAAACGTAGCTAATCCCTACCTCAAGGGTCTTTGGGAACATTTACTGAGATAACCTGAAAAATGCCCACACAGAGCTTGGTGAATGGATGTCACTGGTGGTATGTATTCTCTTTCAGTGTATTTCATTCATGTCAGTATCACAATAAACCACGTCTCAATGTTATTCACCCTCTACAAGTGGGGCAGCTAGGGCCCAGAGAGGTCAAGCAGTTTGCCAGTGATCACACAGCACATAGACTATATGATAGACAGAGCTAGGTTCCAATCCTGGTGTGTCTGACTCCAATGTGCGTGCTCCTTCCATGTATCACAGCACACCTCACTCAGACTCCTCAAGCCCCTCACCACACCTCGCCCCCTTCCTGTGCCCTCCCCCACCAAGTCTGGCCGGCTGTGCTCCCTTCCTCCTGCACCCTGGCTCTGAGCTTCTTTTGTCAGGGCCTTGGGCTGGGTGCTGGGTGGTGAAGGCGGGGTCAGGGATGGAGGAGACCCTGCAACCCCTGCCTGGAGCTGGAGGCCTCATCCTCTCTCCCCATCTTCCCCACCAGCGAGGCAGCTGCGGGTGCTGCGGGCTCTGGAGGATGTGACTGTCAGTGAGGGGGGCAGTGCCACCTTCCAGCTGGAGCTGTCTCAGGAAGGTGTGACCGGGGAGTGGGCCCGGGGTGGAGTCCGGCTGCAGCCGGGGCCCAAGTGCCACATTCATGCAGACAGCCACACTCACCGTCTGGAACTTAGTGGCTTGGGCTTGGCCGACTCAGGCTGCATCTCCTTCACGGCGGACTCCCTGCGCTGTGCAGCCAGACTCACTGTGACAGGTGCGGCCTCCGGGACCACGGCCTGCCTGCTGACCCGTGTGGCCCTGCTCACATTCCCGGGTGTGACTACTGACTTGCTGTCCGTGTGGCCCCCACTGACCATGCCTGTCCCAGGGTAGCCCTCATTGACCTCCCTGGCAGAGTGTGACTCCCCTACCCTTTGGCCCTGTGTGGCTCCAGTGAGTGCCCTGCCTGAGTGTGGCCCCGACTGCCCCAGGCTCTGCCAACCACTGACCATGCCACTGTGAGTATGTCTACGCCAGCATGTCACTGTTGTCTGCCCGCCTGCACATGGCTCCACTGACCACGCTGCGACCCCACTGACCACACCCTGCGTGCCCCTCTGCCTGCCTGAGTGTGGCCCCTGTGATCAGTTCCTCCAGTCTCCTTCCTGTCTAAGGGTGACTCCACTAGCAACTCTGCTTGAGTGTCCCCCATTTGTACTTCCAGCCCCGCGTGTTGCATACTGACTACACCCGCTCTAGGGCCCCCCTTTGCTTCTATGAACCCACTGTGTCCCCCGCTAACCAGTGTGTCCTACTGTCCAGCCAGACACGGTCCCACTGACCATGCCCGCCTATCTTGACTCTGCTGGCATCTCTGCCCTAGTTCTCCACTCCTCTCAAGCCCCCAACATGTTTCCCAGGCACCACCTTAAAGTGTAACTCCCAGCTGGCCACTGACCCTCTGGCCCTGCTGTGTCCCCATTGACCAGCATCCTTCTTGAACCGCTTGTCTCAGCACACCCCCACTCACTAGTGGCTTCCACTGATTCCTTATATCCAAGTGTGCCCTCCTGTTCCTACAAGCTGAGTCCTCATTGCGTTCTTATTCCTGTTCCCTGTGCACTGTCCTCCCTTTCCCACTCCCAGAGGTCCCAGTGACCATTGTGCAGGGACCACAGGACCTTGAGGTGACTGAGGGCGACACAGCTACGTTCGAATGCGAGCTTTCCCAGACCTTGGCTGATGTTACCTGGGAGAAGGTCAGAGCCCAGCCCCAGCCCAGCCCTCTTCAGCATCACAACAATAATAATATCCAAACAAATGACGAATACTCATTGAGAGGAAGCGCTTGGCACTGTGCTAAGAGTTAAGTTACATTTAGTCCTTTAATCCTTACAACTACCCTAGGAGGTAAGTCTTGTTATCACCGTGTTACCTGTGAGGAAACAGCTCAGTGGGGCGAGCTTACCTGCCCAAGGCAGACCAAAGGGGTAGAGCCCGTATTAGGTCGAGGTTTGCCTAATTCCAGAGTCCATGCTTCCCGCGCCCATGGTGTCCCCTCGTGGCCCTAACATCCCCGAAGGGTGACACCTTCTCAAAGGCTCCTGGCGCGGCCCCGGGCCTGGGAACACGGGACACGTAAACGCGCCTCGAGACCGCTCGGCCTCAACAGAG